CACTAGCCATCATCTAAGCCTAACGACAAAAAGAACAAATACAGAGAAAGCATAGAATAGGGTTCCAAACAGTGTTGTCAAGGCACAAATCAACGCACAAAGGCCTTAATGTGAAAATGCAAAGATACATTTTTCCTTAAGATTTTGAGCATAATAATGATTTAAAACTAAGATAAACAGATTTAGTTTCATGAGTTTTGGGGGTTCCAATGTGATTTTCACCATGTCTTCGATACCTAAAACCCTTACCTGGTTGCCAACTCAGAACAAAATGGATAAATTGGCAATACATTATTCTTCCCTAATTTTCTACATGTCTAAGAATTTAGAAACCCTAAAAATTAGGGGAAAACGACGGACAACCAAAACTATCGCAGATCAAGCTCTTGCTTGCTGCAATAATAAGTGATTCCTGCTAATCAAGAAACAAAATTTTCCATTTCTAACCCTAGCCAGTCCATTATCAACGCAATACAACAGTAAACTCATCAAAACCAAAATTTAACCAAGCATAACAAAATGAGTGCAAAAATAACTCACATCTGATCCAAAATATTCCGCTTTCTCCAAAAAAGACAAATCGCCCGAATCAAACCCTAACCAAAAAACACCGCCGGCGATCGAGAGAAAGCCGGCGACCCCGCCACCGATGAGAGGAGGAGATCGGCGATGAGAATCGCCAGGAATTGGAGGATTTGAAGATGCTATCTTGGTTTTTTTTTATTTTTTATTTTTTAACTAGTATTTTTCGACGTCGAAGGAGAGGAATTAAAAAGGTCATAGGAGAGGGTGAGATGAGCTAGGTTTCCGAGCTTACCCTTCTTTGGCTAATTAATTACAGATTTGTACACAAACTAATAGTTGAATATTATTTTGAAAAGAAAATAAAACTGAAAAAAGTAAAATCATGGAGCTTTTACGGGAATTTTAGCAATAATGTAAAACTTTATAATTGAACTATTTTATCTAGTGAGAGATAGATGTATGGATTGCACCTTTTTTGACTTTAACTCTTAAATCACTAAAACTACAACGAATATTCAAATAAAATAATTTACTTACCATAAAATTTCTAATAAATTATCTAGACTACTATGAAATTTACATCAAAGGAAACTATCACGAGTTTTCATGTATTATCACTACAATTTACAATAGTCTTAATGGAATGTTATTTTTCTATTGTTTTGAAAGTTCGCGATATTTTCCGTTAATAGAAAGAAAGTAAGTTTACTATGTTTGCATAGAACTCCAAACAGTCATAGTAGTTTCATAAAATGTACTATAAAAAATATTTTCAATTTTTATTTATTTGGAATTTTTATTTGTTAAGTTTCGTTAGAATGTAAGAGCAAATATGTAAATAATATGAAACGGAGGGGCTAAAGTTATGTCAAATAACTATCCCATCCATGTAGGGAAGTCATATAACGGCTATAAAGCTTTTCCCTCCAATTCATCTTCCCTCCATTTTTAATTGTGGAGTAAGGACTAACAAGAGCGCATACTATTAGCTTCTATAAAGTAGTATTTTTAAATATACACGTATTGATGTGTAGTCATACTACTGTACAATATACTTTTAGTTTAAATTAAATGAACAGAAAAGATCTGGTACAGCTACTTCTTTTTTAGTGAAGAATATACCTCATTTTGTTTGCTAATATCTCGTCGTCTTCGAACTAAAGTTGATGACTGCATTAATTCAGAATGTAATTTACGCTTGTCAAATTTTTGTGCATATATCAATTTTTAACTGTTTGCAATGATATTTTTTGTTGTTTAATTGATTTGCCATGCTATACGTACCAAATTAACTTTTAGTAGCGGAACATGTGCGAGCTTATACGGCTTAATGAGCTTTATTATGGATCCCACCTAACCCAAAAAAAAAGAAAAAAAAAATTATTCAATGCCAGCTTGCAATGCGTGGGCCCGTGTAAGGGACCATGGGGTCCACCGTAAATTAGTTTGATCTAGGTGCGAATTTGGGTCCCTACTATTAAAAGAGGTAGGAAAAGCAATTTTCTATTCCGACAACAAGCTTTACCTCTAGTTTCTCCTTTGCGAATGCTGGGGGTGCAAAATGAAACACACACAGTTTTTAAGTTCGTGGGGTACTTCGTTAAAAAGTAAACCGTAAAGACAGTAAATCCAAAAGGTAAAAAAGAAAAGAAAAAGAAAAGATCATAATGTAAAATACAGTACTAATTAGCACACAAAAGAATCAAACTCTGCAAAATCCATCCTCAATGAAGATGAGCTCTCCTGCGAAATCTCTACATCTGGGGGGGTTTTCTTTGTTATTCCAACTTTTCGTACACGGGGAAAACTTCATACGCGAACGAGCCATTAGAATTATTCGAACTTGAATCAGATACATCACAAACTGGAGCTGATTCTGAACTTTGATCGGTTCCATTACGAACTCGAGTTTGATGAGCCTCTACAGATTGATCTTGGTTTCGGTTAACTTGGGCACTGGAATTGGTAGGGTGCAAGCTGTGCCCTGCACTCGTATAAAAACTTTCCTTAGTTTTATGCGACGTCTTAGCAAGTACCTGATTGTGATGGCATTGTGCTCATATACATATGAGTTCGAGCACTTTCATCAGCAGATATGTGACGCGTACCTGCATTTTCAAGGTAAATATTGTTACGACCGTGTCAGTTATCAATATGGTTCGGTTATAACATGAAAACTTACCTTGTGATGCTTGAGAGCCTTGGGCAACATTTTCGAGGGACGAGCTGTTGAAATTTGAACTTGGAATGCATACGACCCTCCTAGAGTTCACTAGGGCACTGGCATTACTTAGGTGAAAGTTGTTCCCTGCACTCACACAAGAGATTTCCTTTGTTTAGCGTAACATTTTTAGAGAGAGAGAGAGATGAAAAAGGGATAATCTCAGGCACTTGATTCTGATAGGATTGAGCTCATAAACATATGATTGGGAGTATTTTCTTCGTTCCTCAAATTAATATCTTCTTCCATGGGAAACCCGTCCTCTCTGTTCTGATTATGCTCTCCACCATTGCTCCTAAATAAGCTTTATGATGTTTGAGAAACCAAGAAGGAGGATGAATCAAGTCTCCTGGGGTATACATAGGGATCCTGAGTCGAATAACCCCCATGCATGGCACTTGGTGATTATGCACCGTCGCAAATCATTGATCTTTTATGGTATCCATTTGAGCATTGACATTGGGATCCTGAGTCGAATAACCCCCCATGCATGGCACTTGGTGATTATGCACCGTCGCAAATCATTGATCTTTTATGGTATCCATTTGACCATTGGCATTGGTAGGTAGGTTTTTCTCCACAACGGCAAAAGATGGCAGGAGTTGTTCACTGCACTCAAACAAAATATTTGATTAAAATTTTAAAAATCATAGTAAAACAGAAGAAAAATTAAAACTGCAGATGGATTGTTCCTATAGATACATGATTTAGAGCATTTTCATCAATGGATGCAGAGTGTTATCTGTTTCTAAAATAAATACCAGTTATTGATATGATGCGCTACATTCTAACATCAAATTTTACATTGAGAACTGCCATTAGCAGGTTGGTGTTCGTTCATCATTAGAGAAGGAGAAGGCCGATCTTATGCCAGAGTTCATTTGAGCATAAGCATTAGTAAGTTGGAAGTTGTTCACTCATACAAAAAAATTTCTTGGTTATATGTAATATATTAATATATAAAAGGAAAAAAAATATTATTTCAAGTACCTGAATGGCGATTGCAGTGGCATTCTATCCATAGGTATATGACTGATAGCATGTCCTGCAATGGATGCGCATAATGCGTACATGTAGTTAAAGTCAATATCAGTTATCAGTATGACATACTACATTCAAATCACCAAAAAAAAAATTAACCTGGGATAGGCAATTCTTTTTTTGTGATCATCGATGACTCACGTACAAATAGGGCAGGTTCTTGAGCATTGACATTTGTTGTAAAAGACCCATAATTGAGACCAGAGTTCATTTGACCACTGGCATTAGTACGATGGGAGTGGTTCACTTCATTCAGACGCAAAAAATTCCTTAATTCTATGCAAAATCTTAGAAAGATATAAGTTATTGATATGAATTTTACATTCTAACACGTTAACGATGGATGCATATTGCATGCTTGTACTTAAAGTAAGGGTAAATTTCACAAAACTCGCCTTAAGTACGGTTGTTCTTAAGAAAACCCCGAAAACTTTAAAAATGTCACTTAGAACCCCTTTAAGTTTTGTCAGATAACACCCCAACTAACACCATTGGATCTGAATATGTACACGAAAATCTCATGTCCAGATGACAAAAATGTCCGTGATGGGAGAAACCTCCCTTGTGTCCTTATTAAAGGTAAGTTTTGCAAAATCCCCTTAAGTGTGGTCAACTCTGGATTGGAAATGTTAGGATCTAGAGTTGAATAAGCCCGTAAAGATTTCCTTTGTTTTGTGTAACATCTCAGGAAAGATAGATGAAAAAAGGTATAACCCCAAGCACCTGATTGTAATGGCATTGTGTTCATAGACATATGACTTGGGCATTTTCATCAATGGATGCTCGACACACACCTGTATTTTAAAGGTAAACATCAGTTATGGATATGATATGCTATGTTAATCTAAGATGAAAACTTACCGCGTAATGTTTGAAACCCTCCGACAACTTCACTAAGGGATGAGCCATTGAAGTTTGAACCTGTAATACATACGACCCTACTAGAATATCCATTGGAAGCTGGAGTTGAATAAGCCCCCACATGAGAGTTCATTTATTTAGATTATCGAATTGACTAAGTACATTAATCCTCTCTTTAACCCCTATTTCTTAACCATTTGCCAAACGGGGCCTTGGGCATTAGCATTAGTAGAGGGGAAGTTGCTCCCTGCCCTCAAATAAAAAATTTCCTTAATTTATGTAACATCTTAGTTTTATATAAAGTTTTCCTGGAAGAATATCCTATCTTGCTAAGATGTGACATAATAGTGATATTTATTTTAACTTTACCTGGTATAGGCGAGTCCTCTGCTTGTGTTCATCAAGGACTTATGAACAGCATATGATGTAATTGTAGGCTGTCTAAAAATTACTGCAGATAGTTAATCCCCATCAAACACCAATGATGAAAGTTACAATTTAACGACTTCCAGAAGACTATAATTTGAAGACTTTCACGTAGATCGATGAATGTTACAATTTGACGACCTTTACAATAACCGATGAAAGCTCTGATCAATAGTCTTCACAATCAACAGCGATGTTACAATTTGACGACCTTTACAATAACCGATGAAAGCTCTGATCAATAGTCTTCACAATCAACAGCGAGAGTTACAACCTGACGACTCTCGATGAAAGCTCTGATCAATAGTCTTCACAATCAACAGCGAGAGTTACAACCTGACGACTCTCACATATCACAGAGCTGAAACAAAGATTACAAAACGACGATTTTTGCAACGCTCTGACAAAAAGAGACTACAAATTAACAGTCTCCTCAAACCAAGACATGGAAGTCCTCCTCGCGTTTCAGCATCAAGACGCAGCGCCAATTCAACCGCGGACGCAGCTCCTTATCAGCCATCGCTGACGTAGCTCAAGCCCACAGCCACAGCTCATGTTCGGCCGCAAACGCAGCTTCTGAAAGCTGCCAACACAGCTTCCATCTGCTACCAAACGCAGCTTCTAAATTGCTACAAACGTAGCTTCCAAATACTATAAACGCAGCTTCCAGACGCTGCAAATGAGCTTTCAGACGCTGCGTTTGAACGCAGAATTCACGCCAGAACGCGGATTTTGCGTTTGACTCGTTCAAACATGAGCTGAACGGTTTCAAAACCGTTTCCCACGATGAAACCCGTTTCCCACGATCTGAAGGGATCACAACTCCACTCGGGAGTGATTTAAGGGATGGTTACATCCCATTAGCTCCACAAAAGAGCGATTTTAGGGGCGGTTACACCCCCTAATCGCCTATAAATAGCTGAAAGATCAGCTTAGTTCGGAAAAGGCGGAGGAGGGGGAGATATCTTTGGATCTTTGAGAATTTTGGAGATCTAGAAATCGGCTTTTTCAGATCATCTTCTCGGCAACAGATTCTTAGAACTATCTTCATGCTTAGCTTGTCTAACCAATTATGGTTAAGATCAATCAACTCTTTTACAAAAGTTTAAACTCACTCTGAGTTATCAATTCGTTCAGAGTTTCAAACTTGCCACTCAAGTCCTCCACAGCGTCAAATCGTGAGGAGAATATACCGTTCCGGTGAAACAAGACGTTCGGATCGTCAACGAGAAGCAAACTCGACGCGAACATTCGAGGAAGGCATCTCATCGCTACCGTGAAAAACTCAGTATTAAACAAATAGGAGAATTTACATCAATTCTCTTCTCTTTTGTAATCAGAATTCAATTTGTAATTAAGATCGAGAGAATGAAAATCAAATTTCTTTTATTTTATTTACTACAAATTTTTCACAAACAAAAGATGGCGACTCCGCTGGGGACGAGCTTCTCTGACGAAAAAGTGATGGTGCAATCCGACGTTCATCTCATTGGAACAACCGTCGAAACTCTTATTGTTGAGTTTGATCAAGCCAAGTATGAGGAAGTTCTTTCCTTTAGATCCCTTAGCCCCAAGGCTATGCACAAGATCCACAAAGCCAAGTATGAGGAAGTTCTTTCCTTTAGATCCCTTAGCCCCAAGGCTATGCACAAGATCCACAAAGTTTTCAAAGAGACTAAAACTCCAACTGCTCCAATTGCAGCTGAATCGCTCAAGGAAGACCTCTCCTTTAGGCTAGATTGCTCGGATAGCCCCTCCCCCGATGGAGTGGGCTCAGCCTTAGCTAAACCTCGTCAAGACAACGGGTATCGGGTCGTAAGAGGCACATTGAGGCGACAAACTTGATCAACACAGATGGTAATACCGCTACAAAAGCTTTAAAACAGGCTAAGAAGAACGCCGCTCGACGGAGGAGGAGATCCTTACGACGAACACATCTCCGAGAATGTCGATCCTCAAGTCAACACGAGCTTCGTGTTTGTGAACCTAAACACGACCCTATGCCCCGTGTTTCTACTTCAGAATACAAGCCTAGCGTCTATAAGCCCAAACATAGACTCTGTGTGAATAAGACTGAACGCAGCCCTCAGTGGCGTATTGTACAATCAAAATGCAGCCTTCAGAAGTGTGTTCTATTAACTAAACGCAACTCTCAGGCATGCGTTTCAGAACCAAAAAACAGATTTCAAGACTGTGTTCCACTAGCAAAATGCAGATCTCAGGACTGTTTCACCAGCAAAACCTGAACCTCAGACATGCGTTCGAGTAATGAAATCCAATACAGAACCTGATGTATACGGTGGAGATTCGGAGCGCTGCCCCGAACCCCGCTGGAGGGTCGTCCAACGCCGCCCCCTGGACCCTCGGCTCACTGACCGGTCAGCGAGACCCCGAATACTCTGCGTAGCGTGATTAGATCGAGGGGCGGATATAAGAAGTCTATGGATTCAATGCATCTCAACCGTATCCATACTCACTAGGAGCCAGTTCCGTCCAATCATAGACTAGGCATTCCAGTTCAAACCTCACGGTCAGTGAGTAATTCTTCTCGAGTCTTTGCAACAGATTTGAGAGGGTTTATATCGAGAGAAAGACCGATACGAGTCACTCGTTCATGCCAATGCGAACGACTAATTTTTGTGATTTTCTTGAGACACTAGTGCTGCTCATGCGCAGTCAATTTGTCGATGTTCAACAGACCATGAACGTCACTTTGCTCAATAACCAACGACATTCTTATAGGAAGAAGACTTTGGAGGATGAATACCTTGGAGTCACTTCTAACATGATCGGCAGAGGGAGATCATCAGTCCCTAGCTCCGATAAGTCAGATGAAGATCAGTCTCCTGACTTGAAAGACCTCCTGAATAGGTCTGATGGAATTTATCAACATACTCGGATGCGAACAAGAGCCATTCCCCCTGTCAACTATCGGAGGTTACTCAGAGGAACTAATTCCGATGATGAACACTCAGCCATTGCGGAGTCCCCATTATCAAGCTCTTTCGTTGGGCATGAGCGCTTCGCCCACATGGCAGAACAGTCTGAAGATCTTTCAAAGAGGATTGTTGAGCAAGACGCCATGCTCAAATCACAGCAGAAGACCCTCAATGAACTCCTAACCCTGTTGACTCAAATCATCGCAGACAAGACCAAATTTCAGAAGACAGATTCGCCACCTAGGTAAGAATCTTCCTGGAGAGAAAAAGTATCTTCATCCCGACTTCACACAAGCAAAGAGAAAGAAAAAGTGGTTGATGACGCTGCTTCTGACAAAAAAGGCTACAACCTGGAATCTTCCTCTGATGAAGGAAGAGAGACCGAGAATGAGCAGAATCCTCAATCGGTCAAAATGAAAAAATTGAAAGCCCGTCTTAATGCCATTGCTAACAGAAACGAGCTCCAAGACGAGGGAGTTACAAGGCCTTATCCTGTCGAATGGGATTTAGCCCATTATCCTCCAAAGTTCGAAGTCCCGATGCTACAAACTTTTGACGATACGGGATCACCGAATCAACATATTTATCATTTCAAGTCACAGACTGGGAATATGATATAAACGATGTCATACTGGCTCGATTGTTCATTGGTACCCTCAAGAAAGTTACCTTTGAATAGTTCAGAAAACCGCATGCCGGATGTATCCAAAAATGGACAGATCTAAAGAGACTCTTCTTGTCAAGATTCTTTGAAGAAGATACAGAAGTCTCCATCCATATCCTTCTCGTCACTAAGCAGAAAAAGAGGAAGTCCGTCAAAGCCTTTGTCAAAAGGTTTCGAAACATGGCTCTGCGATGTCCGACAGGTATGACACAGTCTACCTTAGTGGAGACCGAAACATGGCTCTGCGATGTCCGACAGGTATGACACAGTCTACCTTAGTGGAGACCTATCGACACAACTTGCAGACCGACCTTCACACAGTCTACCTTAGTGGAGACCTATCGACACAACTTGCAGACCGACCTTCTAGCACAAATGAGGGTTGTAGAATATCGTTTCTGAAGACAACTAATCTCTCAAGGCGAACATGCTCAAAAGATTATTACCAGGATCAAAACTGAAAAACAACGTAGGCAGGATCAACCATAGCAATCGGACCAAGCCCAATCTTATCAGTCAGAAGGAGAAGATACTACGGCTACTGAAGCTAATCCTTTTTAGTAGGAAGGCGGGTCCACCAAAACTATCACGTTAATAGTTACCTCTGATAGTCAAACTCGTCAGATAGTGACCTACTAGGTGCTGGGCCTCTATTCTGACTTGATGGATAGTGGCCCATAAGGTAATATGTCATGTTATACCCCTCTTTTTCTATCCCTGTTAAGTCTTAATCAAGACTGGGGTTGGTTACTTCGAATCCACTAGATTAAGAGTAACGAATCTTTCACATCGTCAAGTTAACATTATACTTCTGACGATCATCACTCCCACGGAGTATGAATTCAGTTTGCATCACTCTCAAGTTGTCACGTTAACAATACACCTCTAACAATCAACTTATCAATCCTTTTTAATAGGATGATAGGTCCTCAAAATTGCTTAAATCGTAATCTTCCCCAGCAAGATACTAAGTCTTCAAAATCTTATTCAAATCATAAGTATCAAAATTCATCGCTTCTGGTGATAAACTCACCTAGCAAGTTTTTCCAGCGAGACGCTAATTCCCAAAATGTTGTGCAAGTTACAAGTACACATTCTCTTATCACGTTAACATCATACCTCTGACAGTTCACTTATCGATCCTCGTTAATAGGGTGATAAGTCAGCAAAGTTACTCCAATCGTAACACATTCCTGTCATGTTAACATCATACCTCTGACAAATCAACGTATCAATCCTTTTCAATAAGATGATAAGTCCACAAAGTTGCTCCAATCGCAATACATTATTGTCACATTAACATCATACCTATGACAAATCAACTTATCAATCCTCTTCAATAGGATGATAAGCCCATAAAGTTGCTCCAATAGCAACACATTCCTGTCACGTTAACATCACACATCTGACAAAATCTACTTATCGACTCTCCCCAATAGAACGGTAGGTCCTCAAAATTATCATGATCGTAATATTCTTTCTGTCACGTTAATATCACACCTCTGACAATCAACTTATCAATCCTCTTCAATAGGATAACAAGTCCACAAAATTGTTCCGATCGTAACAAATTCTTGTCACGTTAATCACACACCTCTGACAAAATCCACTTATCGACTCTCCCCAATAGAGCGATAGGTCCTCAAAATTGTCCCGATCGTAATATTCTTCTTATCACGTTAATATCACACCTCTGATAAAATCAACTTATCGATTCTCTTTAATAGAGCGATAGGTCCACAAACCCGTCAAGTTAACATCACACCTCTGACACTTCCAACTTTCTTTCAGTGTTTCAAGTGAAAACATAACACATGAAGAAATAGCAACAAAACCTACGCCTAACACGCGTTGCCGGTTAGTCTTTTGCCGCGAAAAAAACACCAGAATCCACGTCTGGGGGACTTTATCTCATTCCCTAATTAGAGAAAAGTCTACGTCTAACACACATTGCCGGTTAGTCTTTCTCCGTGAAAAAAGACACCAAAATCCACGTCTGGGGACTTTATCTCGATCCCTAAATAGAAATAAGTCTACGCCTAATATGTGTTATCGGTTAGTCTTTTCCTGTGAAAATAACAAAGTTTATGTATTCAAAATCACAGCATCAAGTCTAAGAGAGTTTATTCTCTTAGCACAACGTTACATGTGAAACGGATTCAAATAATTCACCAGCATCAAGTCTAAGAGAGTTTATTCTCTTAGCACAACGTTACATGTGAAACGGATTCAAATAATTCACATGCTAGCCCGACTCAAACGGTAGTCGGTAAAGGCTTATCAAATCTGTTGATGGCTGAGGGTTTGCTAAAAATCCTATGAATGTTTACGAGCCTATCAACTGAATGGAGGTGAGCCGTGACATGATGTTTGATAGCTTCTGCTCATGAGTAGCTTGTACCGTCGCTATAGTTTCTATTTAAACTCATCATCACACAGGTCCTGTGTGAAAAATCCCTTCAACCAAGACGTCTTCGAAGCGGGTGCAAAGAACAACTCCTTATGACAAGGAATCAACAGCTCCAAGATCAAAGTTAAAATCCAAAATATTCCGAAAATTCGTCTCAGTCAACAGCGAACATTCGAAAATTTTGGAGAGTGTTCTGTAGGCTGTCTAAAAATTACTGCAGATAGCTGATCTCCATCAAACACCGATGATGAAAGTTATAATTTAACGGCTTCCAGAAGACTATAATTTGAAGACTTTCACGTAGATCGACGAAGATTACAATCTGACGATCTTTACAATAACTGATGAAAGCTCTGATCAATAGTCTTCACAATCAACAACGAGAGTTACAACCTGACGACTCTCACATATCAAAAAGCTGAAGCAAAGATTACAAAACGACGATTTTTGTAACGCTCTGACAAAAAAAGACTATAAATTAACAGTCTTATCAAACCAAGACGCAAAAGTCCTCCCTGCGTTTCAGCATCAAGACGCAACGCCAATTCAACCGCGGACGCAGCTCCTTATCAGCCATCGCTGACGTAGCTCAAGCCCACGGACGCAGCTCATGTTCGGCCGCAAACGCAGTCTCCGAAAGCTGCCAACACAGCTTCCATCCACTGCCAAACGCAGCTTCTAAATTACTACAAACGCAGTTTCCAAATGCTATAAATGCAGCTTTCAGACGTTACAAATGAGCTTCCAGACACTGCGTTTGAACGCAGAATTCACGTCAGAACGCGGATTTTGCGTTTGACTCGTTCAAACACGAGCCGAACGGTTTCAAAACCGTTTTTCACGATCTGAGGGGATCACAACTCCACTCGAGAGTGATTTAAGGGGCGATTACATCCCATTAGCCCCACAAAGGAGCGATTTTAGGGACGGTTACACTTCCTAATCGCCTATAAATAGCTGAAAGATCAGCTTAGTTCGGAAAAAGCGGAGGAGGTGGAGATATCTTTGGATCTTTGAAAATTTTAAAGATCTAGAGATCGGCTTCTTCGGATCATCTTCTCAACAACAGATTCTTGGGGCTATCTTCATGCTTGGCTTGTCTAACCAATTACGGTTAAGATCAATCAACTCTTTTACAAGAGTTTAAACTCGCTCTGAGTTATCAATTCGTTCAGAATTTCAAACTTACCACGCAAGTCCTCCACAACGTCAAATCGTGAGGAGAATATACCGTTCCAGTGAAACAAGACGTTCGGATCGTCAACGAGAAGCAAACTCGATGCGAGCATTCGAGGGAGGCATCTCATCACTACCGTGAAGAACCCAGTATTAAACAAATGGGAGAATTTACATCAATTCTCTTCTTTTTTGTAATCGGAATTCAAATTGTAATTAAGATCGAGAGAATACAAATCAAATTTCTTTCATTTTATTTACTATAAATTTTTCACAAACAGTAATAAACGAAGAAGATGAAGGGAATGACCACCCATTCATGCAAAATAGCAAGCCATCATTGTGAATAAGCTTCTCACAGTGCTCCTCTAGAATCCCTTCTGGAACAAACCCACCTAAGGAAGTATAAATGCACCTGGAACTTGTCAACTAACTCACAATGTCTACCTCTGCACCAAAGTCACTCTCTAGCACAGATAGGGCTGGTAAAGAACCGAATCGAAGCGAACAACCACTTATTCGGATTCGGATTCGGTCCATTTCCATATATTTGAATTCATGATCATACTCAAGTCGAATACTAAATGACCATTCAAATTCGATTCGACAATATTTATTCGTGTTCGATAATTATCCGCGAATATTTGTTTAACAACAAACTGCCATTACTTTCACTGCATTATTCTTTTCATATTCAATATCTATTTGTTAATTATTCGAAATGGATAAATTAATCTCTGATCAAAATTAAAAAAAATTGTAACTTTAAGCCTCAACTTACATTTTGATGAAGGGGTCGCAGGTTGGGGAGGTAGAGGTGGAGCCGGTGGGGTTTCGTTGGGTTTGGGGAGGTAGCGACTGATGGAGACCCCGATGGTGAAGCCGAGATGACTGAAGTGCTGATGAAGACCCGATTCAGAGATGAAGAGTCAAGATTTGAGGAAGGATCGAGAGGGAAGAGACCGAGACCGTCGAAACTCGAGGCAAGGGGTAAATTAGCAGGCCGAGGGAGACTGCGAGAGTGTGAAGGATCGGTCGGCGAGAGGGAAGAGAGTGAAGTTTGAATCCGCCGACGAAGGGGAAGAGGCCGGAGCTTGAGTGAGAGCTCTTGATCTCCCGGTGAGGGGAAGATCTGCCGACAAGGGGAACTTCGGCCGGCGGAGTTTGAGAGAGAGAGAGTGACAATGAGATTAGGAGAGTGGAGGCGGAAAAATAAAACAAGGCCAAGCCTAGATTCCATGACTTCATCAACTTAAGTATTTATATGGGGTAATAGTTGTAAATAAAAATTTTGATAGGACTAAAATACAATAAGTTTAATTGATAGGACTAAAATATAAAAAGTTATCAAATAGTTAATAATCCACCGAATCGATCGTACCTTTGGTTAAATTTTATTCATTTATAAACCGAATACTAAAAAATATATTTGTTTAGTATTAAATGAACGATCGAATCGAACTTGACGAATTATCTCGACGAATAATAACCGAACTATTTATTAATTATTTGGTTCACTTCCACCCCTAACACAAAGTCATCCATCTAAAGCTCTCTCACCTAGAATTTTTAAGTATACCCCACTACACTCTCCTCCCCTCACACTACCTCCTCATCCCTTTCTTTTCCTGCTCAACTCTGAGCTTGTTAACAATGGTGGCTAAAAGAGGAAGGAAGGTCCTCGTTAGATCTTTCTTGTTAACATTGTTATTCTATCAGAACCGAATAATTAATAAATAGTTCGGTTATTATTCGTCGAGATACTCCGTCAAGTTCAATTCGATCGTTCATTTAATACTAAACAAATATTTTTTTAGTATTCGGTTTATAAATGAATAAAATTTAACCAAAGGTCCGATCGATTCGGTGGATTATTAACTATTTGATAACTTTTTACATTTTAGTCCTATAAATTAAACTTATTGCATTTTAGTCCTATCAAAAATTTTATTTACAACTATTACCCCATATAAATACTTAAGTTGATGAAGTCATGGAATCTAGGTTTGGCCTTGTTTTATTTTTCTGCCTCCACTCTCCTAATCTCCCTGTCACTCTCTCTCTCTCTCAAACTCCGCCGGCTGAACTTCCCCTTGTCGGCAGATCTTCCCCTCGCCGGCAAATCAAGAGCTCTCACTCAAGCTCCGGCCTCTTCCCCTTCGCCGGCGGGTTCAAGCTCCACTCTCTTCCCTCTCGCCGACCGATCCTTCACACTCTCGCAGTCTCCCTCAGCCTTTGCTAATTTACCGCTACGTTTTCTCTTTACCAAATCTCTTCATGAATAATGATTACTTTTTAACTCCTCCCCTTCTGTAATTTTATCAAAGTAATACATAAAAATTATGTATAACACATTAACTTTGTGATATACTAATCAACCAAATGAACATCATCCACAAAGTTTTAGACTTCACATAAAGCCATCCATGAAAAATCCAAAAAACTTGCCAGAAAATTAAGGCTACTCAATCAACTAAAATCACAATTGAAAAAAAAGAAAGTTATACCTTTGAGATGAGAGAAGACATCTTGCTCGAATAAAGAGGATTCCCCAAAATTTACCTAATTGCAATCAGTCACCACCATTACCAATAAGCAGTATTGAAATTGCTAATTAATTAGTTAGGAACCCATCGAAATCACTGAACTCTAATGCATATTCATAATAAGATCAACAAAAAATAAGAAAAAAATTGGTAAAAGAATGAGAACACTAGCTCTGATCTAGGGTTTTAGATGCAAAGCTCACGACCTAGCTCCTAGCTCGGACTTAGGGTTTCGAATGGGTGGGGGGGGCGGAGATTACCTGCGATTGTCAATGTCGGGACTCGCTTTTCAAATCCACTCTAGAAAATGACTTTGATTAAAAAACAAGGTCCAAACTTGAGCCCAACATAATATTTTGATTTGAAATGCCCAATTTTAAATCTAACGCCCAAAGGGGAACGTTGGGTAGAACCAAAAGTCAGATTTAGGGGTAAATATGCAAAAAGGATTGATTTGTCAGGAACTTTACAAATTTTTTTGGGAAAAATGTTTCAAGGCCCCAAAACAAAAAAGCGGATGTGGGCAGGCCCCCTGTATTTTTTTTGGTGTGACAAACCCCCCAAAACCAAACTTAATACTTAATCAGCCCTTTTTTCATTTCCAAGACAACTTTAAGAGAAAAGTTGAGGCGTTCAGACCAAAGTACCCTTTTGTACCCGTTCCCCCCTTCCGCCTTCTCTCTCTCTCTCTCTTCTCTCTCTGTATCTTCTTCACCGCAAACCTCCATTAGCTTTCGAACCCATTTTCAAAACCCTAGTTTCACTCAAGCGGCTAGGAAATCTATTTTGAAAATGCCCCAAAAAAATTTAAGTAAAATGGCTAAGAACCGTAAGCGTAGCAAGTATGAAGTGGACAACACTCAAACGGAACGGGACGTTCGTCACCGGCGTCGGTCGGCACGATTGGCGCAGCAGGAAATGCCAAAGTTATCCGCCTCCGCCTCTGCCTTGATATCGCCCGCCGGCAATTCTGCTCCGACATCCTCTGAGGATGAGGAGAGTAACGAGGCGACGGAAACCCTATTGAGCATGAAAAGTCTGGATATTCGCGAAAGCAAGAGGAGACGCTCGCTGGAGGATGTGTCCATCTCAAAGAAGAAGTAAGTTCCCAAGCAATTGAGGGTTTTTGAATTTAATTAGTTTAAATGAGTGATTTTGATTTTAATTGAGGTTTATGGGATCTTTTTTTGAATAAAATGGTGGTGAGAGACTGGTTATTGTAGTGTAGAACCAGTTTCGTAATTTTGGAGTAAGATCTGAACAATACGAAGTGTTATCAGTTTGGAACAAATGCATGTAAATAATTCTCATTTGTTGATAGCTAGTTGCAATGCATGTCAATAAATCTTGGTTGTTGTTAACGTTTATGCATAAGTGTCAAGTATTAGCTATTCATGTTAATAAAACGAAATTTTGACTCAGATAATGCCTTTACGGTTAATTGTTACCTACTTTGGAGTTGAATGACTTGTTAAGAGTAAATAGTTGTTTATGCAGGAAAGCTACAGCCGAAGGTGATATACGGCCTAGTGCCTGTCTTGGATCATATTGTACTTTCATGCAAAGACTTCAACCAAAACTGAAGCAGTGGCATTGGGATGCCTACAAGGGCAGTAACTTTGAGCACTATGTATTCTTCGGACCTCCAGCACGTGATCGACGGGCACTAGAGCATGTGCTCAGCCATTATGTTGGCGAAACTGATGAATTCTCTTTTTCTGATCCCATAAGCGGGACTATATTTTCAGTCCAATTTGATGAAGAGTGGGTGCAAACTCACACGGGCTTCCCTATTGATGGGGAATTGATCTACGGGAATAGACACCCGCACAACCGGCTTTGGAGGGAATATTTTGAAGAGAAGAAAGAAATGCTAAAGGCAAAGTCAAAGGAGAAGGCCAAGGACACACAAGAAGCTGGTAGCATGAGGAGATATGTTGAGGAGTTACTGGAAACACTGGTTGAGTCTTCTGAAAATAAGGACATTGAGGATTTTGTGCTGCTTCAGATCTTGTACCAGTGTGCAATGATTTGGTGCCCCAACAGCTCACAAGGCATTCCAAGACAGTTGTTTCAATATGTAGATAGTATTGAGAGAGTGAAGAACATTGCGTGGGGTAAAATTATTTTTGATGAGACGAAGAGAGGCATTCAAATTGCCGTTGAAGGGTTGAGGAAGCCAGGGGTTACATACGTACCTGGATGCATGCCGCTCATCCCTGTAAGTTGCATGACCAACTGGTCTGACATTTGTTTTAGTTAACATTAGTCTTGGTAACAGGCATTAGAAAACATGTACAATATTAAATGTTTACAGAATATGGTTAAAATTAACATGTTAACATGAACTTTAACATATAAAAATTAAAGTTAACATCAATAGGTGAAAGTTAACATGTTATCATGAACTTTAACATATAATTATTAAAGTTAACATTAATAGGTGAAAGTTAACATGTACCCATTAATGTTAACATGTTTTGGTGAAAGGTAGCTATTTAGAGTGTAGTTGAAGAATGAGTTCTGAAAGTTAACTATTTTGATATTCGTTCCTTCGATTCTGACAGCTATGGTACTATGAGATGACTGGCATTAAAAAACCAGCCCTAAACTTGAGATGGAAGCCTCCGATGACCAATTGGGTAAGGATTGGAGGGACTGCTGGATCGTTGAGGATGGAGACAATTGTCTCTAAGGCCAAGAAAGCAAGCATTAAAATCATGGAGAGACCAATTACGACCAGCATTGAATGGGGTGAAAAATACCCTCAAGGTGAAAAATACCCTCAACGGGAGCCTAGCAGGAAGAAGATTGAAATCGCTCGCTTTGGGAAAAAAAGAAGCCCAATTGTCTCATATAGGAGTAAGGTTATGGAGCAAACTAGGGTGAGAAAGAAGAATGAGGAAGAAAAGGTAAAGGATGGGAAGCAAGATAAGGTGAAGGGCAGGACAAGGAGCTCATCCGTAGGTTACGTAAGCATCAATGACTCTTTACACATTCTTGCATATTACCAATTGAGTTAAATTTTCTATCTTTATCATTAGTTAATTTTCCATGTACTCATTGTTTCATGTTAACATGTTTTGGGTAAGAAAATTACATTGTGGATTATCATAACTATTTTTTTAATATTGTGGATACATATGGGTAATGGGTATATGGTTTACTTTTCAGATTTTGGCCCAGCATATTAGAGATGCTTTTGAGAGTGAAGATGAAATAGAGAAGTTGACAACCGAAGATCAAATTCAGTTTTGGCGGAATACGGCCAAAATTAATTGGAAACTGCTCCACACTGTCAAGCGTAGTAAGCGCCTTCAATGGGAGGAATGCTCTAAGGAGATACATAGGCTGAACAAGAAATTGGAGGGTTATGAAGGGACCGCTGACTTGATTGACCCCGAAGACCTGAAGAAGAATGTGAAGGGGATTATGTCACAGAAAGAGGGGCATACAGGGTCTGCACAAAAGAAAATAAGGAGGAGTATTGATTCTGAGGACAGGGGTGATGATGGAATTTGCTTCGATTATGACGAGGTAACCAATATTGGCAAGGAAGCAGAGAAGGAGTTAGAGAAAGGTGAATGGCAAGAGATGGAGGATGATAATTTGGAGAAAGCTGTAGAGAGTGAGGAGGATAAGAAAGAGGAAGCGACTGTGGATGAGAAGAAAGAGGAAGAGCGAGAGCAGGAGAAGAATGAGGAAGAGGAAGAGGAAGAGGAGAAAGTGGAAGAGGAAAAACATCAGAAGAAAGATGAAGAAATAGTGGTGGAGAACAGAGAGGGAGAATGTGCTGAGGAGAAGAAAGATGAAGAAAGGATGGAAGAGGAAGAGGAAAAAGGAAAGAAGAAAGATGAAGAAAAAGTGGAGGAGAA